CTCTGAGGGTATGAAGGAATGGGTGTGGCATAGTGAGGCAGGGGTTTTAGAAAGCTCTTTCTGGCAGCTTCGTGGAGACTGGTCTCGAAGAGAGAGACTGGAGAAAGGGAGATCAATTAGGATGTGGTTTTATAATCCAGGTGAGAGACAACAAAGGTCTGAGGGAAGAAATGCCCATGGGATAATGGGTGAAGGAGCAAGGAATGGACTTTGGAGATGTCCCAAGAGGTAGAAGCTGCAGGATCCTTCTTAAAGTGTTGCATGTACTTAAAAATAAAAGGCATTGCTTAAAACCTGGGCCCTGACACCCTGGGGAATGATTCATTTTGGAGACCTGAATTCTCTATGGAAATGGGGCTTTACCCATTTTTGTATCCATCAACAGTTAAAAAACATTATTGTGATTATTGGAAATGCTTTGGTAAAAGGTCATACTTCTCCTGAAGGTGGTACTGCATTGACATAAACAGCAGGAGCTTTAGAGTCAAAGATCTGGGTCTCAAACTCTATTCCGCTCTTTATTAGCTGTGGAGCTCGGGCAAGTCACACTTCACCTCTTTGAGCCTATTGCTTCAAAATGGGGTCAAGATCATCCATTCGACAGGGTTGTTGTGGGGTTATACGAGGTCATGTATGTAATGCTCTGAGCACAGTACTGGGCACATCCTAAGTGCTCAGCAAGTTAGGTCTCTTCTTCCCTCCTTCCCATGATGCCCCAGGCTTAGCCTCTGGACACCAGTAACGGTGACACTTTGTGCAAGGCTCTTTAACCTTCCCTGGAGGGCCCCAGAGCAGTATTCTTGGACTTCTTGCATCTGCTTTTCACATTTCCTGTGTCCTCCCCCATAAACTGTCACTTGTCATTATTATCACCCACTCTCCTTTCCTTTTGTAATCCTGTGTGAGTTTGTAGACCAGATAATGGCTAACTGCTTTACCTGTTTACTAATTGTGAAATGTTAGTTCATTTAATCTTCACAACCTTATCAACCAAGTACTGTAATTATTTCCATTTTATAGCCCGAACGCAGAGGCACAAGAAGGTGAACTGACCTCCTGAGGGCACGCTACCAGGAAGTGCAGAAGCAGCTTGGACCCAGGCAACATGGCTCCAGAGACCACGCTCTCGGCCACACGTTATATCACCTCTCAAAACTGAGAACCACAACTAACAGTGTGCAAACTAAGAGTTAACAGAATGAAGACTGGAGAGCAAGTCTCTTTTATTGGTATTTCCTTTCAGACCACACTTTCAAAATACAGCAGGGAGGAGCTGTAAGGCCAGGGCACTTGTTAGGGGTCATCTTCCAAAGCAGATTATTTGAGATGAGAGAGAAGCACTGAATGCAGAGGGAGGTTCAAGGCAAGGAAGTCCAACTGTTGTATCTCCAACCCCCTCCTTTGGGGGTTGCAGCTTTCATTTAGATAAAAATGTGGCTTGATGAAAAGAATGGGCATATTCAACTTCCCAAATAGTCTGATGGTGTTTGCATGATGTAAATGGTGGTTCTGAATTTTCTGGCATCAATACTGCCCACTGAAAATCTGATGAATACAGATTTTCCCTTCCAGAAAATTACATTTAACTTCTTATACACAACTGTGGGGGATGCCAAGATCCATTCTTGGACATGAAATTTAGAGATTCTTTATAGAAGAGCTGTGAACCTGAAAGTCAGAGCCTAGGGCTCGAGTCCGGACTCTGGTCCTGACATTCTGTGTGACTTAGGCAAGCACTGCCCTTTGAGCCCGCACTGCAGTGCGCTGAGATGATGAGTGTAGAGGGTGTGGGAAACTGCAAAATGCTACCTGAATGTTATCAGGACACTGAGGCTCAGAGAGGTTACTCACCTTAAGGTCAAAGCTATAAAGTGGCAGAACCAAGGTTCAAACTGGAAGACACTAAGGTCTGTGTGTGTGTGTCTGTGTAGGTGAGAGAGAGAGAAGAGAAACGAGAGAGAGAAAAAAAGAGGAAGGAGAGGGAACGAGAAATGAGAGCAAAAGAAAGGAGAGATCTCCCTCCAATAATTTTTAAAAAGATCAAATGAGAGAATGCAGGTGAAAGGGTCACCCAGATTGTGAAGTGTGACGTGTATGTGATTACTCCTGCACTGAATTTAGGACTCCACGTCCCATCCATCTGGGGACCCGGCACTGGGTGGATGGGGAGCTGGGAGAAATGGCGGCAGCGTGTTCATCAGTGACGCTGCTCATGGAGACAATGAAGACCCGCTCTCCTATCCAAATGAACAACTTCTGTGATTTTGGGGAAATCTGTGAGTTCTGCAACATCTTTAAAACCCATCCCTTTGACCAGTATACTCAGGTCAGTATGTGTAGCTCTGGGATAGCAGTTTTAATGCAAATGAAACTTATTTTATGTTTCTAATGTCACCAAATAAAACTTATAAAAGCCTAAATCCTATTCTCCTACATTAGAAAAAGAAAGATTTTATTTTATTTTAAACATCATAGAAGAACATCTTTTATAATGTTCTCATCCAATTCAGACTTTGGATGCTTACAATTCAGAGATGAACACCCGTGTGTCCCATAAAGCTATGGTACCAGACCATGGCAACGTTTCGAACCAGAAACCTCTCCAAACTACACCTTCTCAAAGTCTGTGGGAAATTGTCAATACTTCCTTAATCCTGCACACTAATGCTCCAAACATACAACTGATAATCCAAGGAACACAGAGGAATGAGCTGGAATGGAAGTGAGGATGACGGGGAGTCCTGGAACTTCACTGTAAACAGCTGGGCAGAAGAACACGGAGCCCATGTTCTGATTGACTCACTGCATCTGGCAGCTGGGATGTAAAGCCCAAGGAAGTTTAAGGGCAGGAGGAAGAATTGCCAAAGGACATTGCTATTTCTGTGATAGCAGAAGTTACTTAATAACTTCTCCTCTTGTGATAGCAAGTTACTTGATGTTTTTCTTGGAACCTAACTTTATGGAAGTCCCTTTAATGTTGTGCTTGTAAGAAAAAGCCCAAAACTGCTTTGGCCTCTGGTTCTGGAGCTCAGTAGACCAGAATGATGTGAGTGAACAGTGACAATTAGCTGAGGCCTTTCCCAGCAATGGGAGCCTACAGGATAGGATTTCATGAGACTGAACTAGGAGAATCTCTCAAGACAGGGTTGAAAAAGGGTGTGTAAACTTCATACATGTTCAAGAAGCATTTAATAACTTTTATGAAATTGGTTTCAGAGTAAAGTCCCTATCACTGGAATACAGAAGTGAAGCTGACAGGGCAGAACAATATGATGAAGTTAAACCCAAATTAGATGGAACAGGTTAACATGAAAGTAAATTCAGAGTCCTGTCTCTCCAACTCCCACCCATACTCTTGCTGCTGTTCCTGAGTATGGCCTGGGTTCAAGGCTATAGCTTCTGCATGGCAGCTAGGGTCTACCTGGAAAAAGAAGAACTGGTGCCCTAGTGCATCTGTAGCATTGGAAATGACTGTCTTCGGGGCCACCAGGTTAGGAAGGTAGGTGTGGACCAAAAAAAAAAAAAGGTGGGAGTAGAGCTGAACTCCCCCCATAGTGGGTCTCTTTTCCTTTCAGTCTCCCTGGGAGACCTCTGGAGCAGAGAAGGCCTGACCCTAAGCAGATGTAGGAACAAATCTCTTACGAGAGAATGTTCAGGGAGGTCCCTGGTTGGAACACCAGAGAAAAGACACAGGAGGAATTTTCCTGGCCAATATCCACTTCCTCGCAGCCGTATCTTAGGCTTCAGTTAGAGTCTTCTGAGAACCCCTTGAATCGGGCCCGGGGAAAAACCCAGCACTTAGACTGTACTTTGGACAAATACAAAATGTCAAAATCCGAATCCCAAACCCTGGGATAGAGACCACAGGTGACATAAAAACAGATATGGAGGAACATTCCAAGACTAAAAAGAAATCATTGGCTGTGAAGGCATCAACAGTGCTTCCATGAACTAAACTTCAAACCCCAAATCCACAGATTAACAAAAATCCATATTTACTAAATCATTCCCAAATTATTATATGTAGGTTCAGGCAACACATGTCTTCTAAGCTAAGCTCCCAAGTTTGCTCTCTTAAATATATGAGGTCAGAATTTTCAGCCATGAAATCTCTTTCATTTGAAATGCAAATCTAATATCTAATACTGAAACGTTAAAAGAATGAAATAGTGGAGCAAGGTTTTACAATGGGGCTCAGAGTCCATGGGGTGACTGATCAGATTTTGGTGATAGACAAGGTGCTTAAAATACCAAGTAACAAGGTCCCAACACATGATGGAGCAGAGGGAGAGAAAAGCAGGAAGAGAATTGTGTTCGGTGTACACTGATGGACCAGCTATCTGGGAGCTGGTATCTATGAGGTTCGAACTGCCCAAATGCAAACCTAACAGCAGCTTCTTGAGTCTGGGCCAGATACCAAAGTCCTGGTACTGGTCCTCTTCACACTATCTCAACATTCACATAATGCACTTCAACAGTTTTCCACGCTGCACTGGAAGAGCAGATACCTCCTAGATGGAACCTGGAGACCCAAGGCAGCCACAGTAAATAAGTATCTTGCATATACATCAAATGCAGTCCTCAAACACAACCTTACATCTTAGTAAAGAAGTCAGAAAGTACCAACAAAAATGATATGCTTTTTTTCCTACAACGTTTAATCTCCATGCTGAGAAGTCCCATTTGACTTTTTTCCCCATGCCTTTTAAAATTAGGTGACAAAGTAGAAATCCAGTTGTGAAAATAAAAAGGCAGAGGTGTATGAGCCCTGGCTCAATGAGACGTATCAAATACATAGCATCCTGGCGTCCCAGGGCAGACAGAACTGTCCTAGACAGTGTGGGGAAATGGCGGGCACTGGAGAGGTAAAAATTCTACTTCGTGGTCACTCACACTTGAACAGTGCATTAGTCATTGAATAAGGGCGAGGTGAAAGGGATAAAGGAGGGCTGCAGAGTTGTAATTCTCTATGAGGGTTGGGAACATATACTCGTGGATGGGAAATTTTAAGTAGCTATGTTTATTATTACTTTTTTCCAGCAATCTTGCAAGAGGCAGAAGTGTGACATTGAGTTGAGTGAGACGAGCGTGTAGGTGGGTTGGCGAGGAGCCCTTCTCTTGACGGAGGCCTCTGGCTTGTCAAGGAATGGCTGGTTCCACTGCTGGGCCATGTTTACTCTTTTGCTTCAAGGAAAAGGGTTTCTTGAGGGAACAACTTCACCTCCAATAGTGATTTATTTGGGTCCAGCTGGGTTACCTAAAAAGGAAGAAAACACATTTAAAAGATTGGAACAATCTCCTCATGGCGTTCAGGTCCTCCCTGTGCACACTGGCTCTCAGCCTGCTATGCAGCGGCCTCACCATTTCCAAATCTGTCATCTTATTAGATGCTCACAATAAACCTGGGACGTATGTGGTGCGATTTCCATCTTAGAACCGAGGACACCAGGGCTCAGAGAGGTCACAGCTCATAGGTTAGTGAAGAACTAGCATGTGACCACAGGCAGGCACAGCTTCAGGAGCCTGGACCTCTTCCTGGGCAGGTGGGAAGTCCGTGCCTCCTGCACAGCACGGCTTGGCCCACAGAACGGGAGCCTCTTAGGAAAGGGTACTGGCTAAACAACTGATGGGCATTCTTGGGGACCTCTGCTTCGTTAACTCCTGACAGCATGGGGGCACTTTTCTGCTTGGTAGGAAAAGAGCTAAGTCCTCGGGGCTGACCTTCTAGCTAAACCTTCCTGTAGTAAACTGGACAATGCCTACTCTACCATGCCCAAAGATGAATATCCTCCCCTGAGGAAGAGTCTCCCTAGGAAGGCATATCACAATCTCCTTGTTGGTGAAGCAGGAGGATATTTAGTTTGAAAAAATAGTCAATGCCATAGTAAGACTTTCTATTTTAGAAATAAAAAAAATCATTATTTAATAGTATGAACGATAGAGAGTAAAGCTAGACAAAATCTTGGCTCAGTTGGGAAATGCTAGTCATATAGGAATCCTAAAGTAGATTTATGACTCCTAGGCCAGGGGCAGGGATGGAGGATTTATGAATCTGAGAATGAGAGAAAGAAACAGTTTTCCTATTTATCAGAAGGGAGTATGAATTTTAAAAAGTTGAGAAATACTAGTTTAGTGGAAGTGACAATGGGCTTTGGAACCAGAAAGATTCCGGTTTAAGGGGCACACCTGGGTGGCTCAGTCGGTTAAGCGTCTGCCTTTGGCCCAGGTCATGGTCCCGGAGTCCTGGAATCGAGCTCTGTGTTGGGCTCCCTGCTCAGTGGGGAGTCTGCTTCTCCCTCTGCCCCTCCCCCTGCTCATGCTCTCTCTCTCCCCCCTACCCCCGCTGTCCCTCTCAAATAAAATAAAATCTTAAAAAAAAAAAAGATTCCGGTTTAAATCATAGCTGTGTTGGCTATTAGCTTTCTGGCTTTGGAGTTAATATCAACCACGCAGGACTGATGTGAGGATTAAATGAGAAAAAAATATACAATTAGCAGTGTCCAGCACAGAGCAGGTGTTCAATGATGGCTACTGTGTATGTGAATAACTAAAGATGGACAGACACACAGATAAATGGACAGGTCTGAGTGTGTGTGATGAGAGGCTGGGTAGTCTGCTACGTGAGATACAGGGACTCTGGGCCTGTGGTCCGCAGAGAATACACCATCTGAGGCTGGCAATCTTGTCCTCTGCTCAACTGAAGCCACACCTAATGAGATGGCTCCACTGTCTTCTCCTAGTCAAGGGAGATGAGGGCCTTGGGAGCCTAGTGTCACAAGCAGGCTGGAGAGCTGAAGGAGGAACACTATCTTCATCTTCGACTGTATCCAGATGGAAACATGGTAGGCCCAGGGGGGTCATTAAGGAGACACATCAACCTCCAGAATCCTCTCTGCCTATACGGAACCCAGAGCAAAGCGGCTCTACTGGTATCTCTTGGGTTCTGGGCAGATGGGCAGGCAAAGCAGTAGGGAGGGCCCAGCCTGCTGTCTGTCTTCCAATGCACTGGGGGGCAAGCTGCTGGCAAATGTTTACCCACTTCCCCAATTAACGTACAATATTGCGCTGTCTCTTGTCAACAGAGACTCCGCTTCAGACTCGTTGGTATTTTCTAACCAGCTGCTTCCGCTATTGTTCTTAATTAACATGCCAGAGCTCTTCCGGCATCTTGTGCTTTGTTATTTGTGGTTTGTAAATATGATGTTTGTTGGGAGAAAACATAATCATAATAGTGCCAGAGCCTATGCACACCAGCAGAAACGCTATGAAGCAAAACGGGCAGGGAGGCTGGAGCCTCGGGCCCAAACTGCACCCTGCCTAAGCTGTCAACATCCAGGGTTAGAGGTTCAGAAAACTGTGTCCCAGGAAAGTTAAGTGATTTTCTCTGTCACTTTGGGTGAGACAGCTGGGACTTGAAAAGGAGGAAACTAGTTTTTTGAACACCTATTGCATGCCAGGGACTTCATGTTATTTCATTTAATTCCTGTTAACAACCATGCAAGGTAGGTAGAGATGGCAAAATTGAGGCTTAAAGTGGCTGCCACTTGTTTAAGGCCACGTGGTTAGTAGGGGTCTGTCTATACAATATAATGGTTAAAAAGACTGAAGCAAACTTAGATTCAAATCCCTGTTCTCACTTTACTACCTATAGACCTCGAAGTTCGATAACCACAGAGACTAGGTCTCTCCATCTCTAAGATGAGGATAATCAGTTTCTCCTTCATAGGTTGGTGTGATGGTTAAATGGAGTGTTGGTAAAGCTTCTGGTACAGTGCTCAAGCCAGTACATGCTCAGTGAGTGGTAGCCATTACTGGCTGGAATGTTGCCTTGGAGAGGGGTCCTGGTCTCACTTCAAGCTGGAGCTCTTTTCCTGAAGGCTCCTGGAGCGCAGGTCTGCACCGGGCTGCCTTTCTTATTTCTGCCCTGCTGCCCTGCTTGGCTAATGGCTCAATAACTAGAGACCCCCTTGGATAGTTTCAGTGAGGCCATGCTGAGCTACTTCACAGCAAACATGGCTGTTTGGGGGCTGTTCCTTCTGGTACCCCATCAGAAGCAATTGTTTTCTTCTTTGGAGGTCATTTTAGACAGAAATTTCAGAATGAACAAGGACAACCTCTGCTTCCATTCTTTTTTTGCCCGCATGGACAAAAAGGCTGTAGGGGAACCTAGGGGGATGAGGTTCTCCCCTGCAAGATAGGTGGCCATGCTGTGGAACCATCATGCTGTGCTCTGGGTCCCGTTCAAGAGGGAACTGAGAAGTGGTGGTGGTGGCTGCCGCTATAGGGAAAGGAGTAGCTGAAGGACTGCCAAGTAGATCAGACACGTTACGTGCAGCACCAGTGGGCAGGGCTGGGACCAGTGACATCACAGGGACACAGAATTCAGCTGGCCAGAAAGGACTCTTGAAGCTGCTCGTGTGCAGCTGTGCTACTTTCTTCTTCCTCCTTCTGTTCTGTTTTCTTCTTGTTCTTCCTAACCATCATCATAGCAGCAACTATCATTTATTGAGTACCTACCATGTAGCTTGAATCATGCTAAGTACTTTATATATATAGTACTCTAACTAGTCTTCAAAAAAGCCAAATGAAGTAGGTATTGTTACTGCCATTTTATAGTTGAAGATACCATGGGTTATCATATCAAGGTGCAGATAGAATAAGATTTCACACTCAAGTCTGTCTGACTCCAAAGCTCACGCTAAACAGAATGCTTCTGGCTAACATGTCAGCAGGCTGCCTTGTGGCAGTGGAGGAGGGAGGGGTGGGGACAGTGAGTGCATTCTCTCTTGCCACTAGAAGCATTCAAATAAGGGCATATTTGAGAAGATCATGAAGATAAAGTAATGGCTAACATATAGTCAGCATTTATTTTGTACCAGGCATATTCCAAGCACTTTATATTTATAAAATAATTTAATTTGTATAATAACCTTCTGAGGTAGATACAATTATTATTCCCATTTTACAGATGAGAGAACTGACCCATGGAACACATTAAGTAACTTGCCCAAGGTCTCAAAGCTATTCAGGACAGAGCCAGGATGTGAATCTGGTTTTGGAATCCATTATGTTGAACTGCTAGAATATTCAGTCAGGGGTGTGGCTAAGAGTAGGCTCCACCCAGAGAAAAAAGTCGGATGAGATGACCCTGAGGTTGTTTCTAACCAAGCTTCCAAGATAAAAGATCTTCCACTTTAAGAATGGCAAAAGATCAAGGGTCAGGAAAAAAAAAAACCCTGAAATGTTTATAAAATACGAATACAAAAACCCAATCTTAGCTTGTGTTCTGCCATTTACCTGGGACTTTACTGAATTATTGACTCTCTAAATCAACAGAGAAACCTATCCTTTGGGACTCCTTGGGAGAGGAGGAGCATTCTCAGTTAAGAGGTCTGGCCTGACTTTGTCTCTGTTAGAAAAGGAAGGTCAATCACCTTGACATTTTATTCATTATACTTAGGGAACCTGAATGATATATTTTCTTATTAAATTAATACCTTAGCTATTTGGTTTTGTGAAACTTGTTTATGTTAGCAAAAATGGGACATATAGAACTATTCTTTCCGAGATCAATTGTCTTAGCAGTTGGAACTTTCATATACATCTTATTTCTATTACTTCCTTGGGCTTCAGTTCCTTTTTTAAAAAAGTCTAATATTGCTGCTGAGAAAAATGTGAATCAGTGTGACAGAATCTCATCCTATGTCATACCAAATAGAGCCCCAGAATGTTAGGGTGAGAAAGTTCCTTAAATGCCAAAAGTCCAACCCCTTCATTTCACAAGTTGCCCTCCTGAGGCTCACAGAGGTCAAGTGACTTGGCCCAGGTCACACAATTAAGAGGCAGATGTAGTACTCTACCCCAGAGTTTCTGACTTCCATTTTGGGGTTCTTTCTAGAAAGCACACTATTCTGCCTCTCACTTAAAAAAAAATACCTGAGCATAAATATACTACTACTACTAGGCTGGGGGCTACCTGAGAGCAAGAGCTGAGTGATACTAAAAATAATAGTAGCAGCAATATATGCATAGTACTTTATAGTTTGTACAAACATTAACTCACAGTCATATAGCATAGATATTATTATCAGTCCTTGTTATTTTACTTAATTTTGCTGAAGTAATGCTTTTATTTTGAAGTTGAATAAACGTTAAGTTCGAATCTAATATTTTCACATTTAGGAAAAAATGCTAGGTTCAACAAATGGTGCTGGAACAACTCAACACTGACATGCAAAAAAAAAAAAAAAGGATCTA